AAAATGTTTAACTGATCGTTTTTCCAGATTCAAGCTCGTGCTTGCCGTGCATGATTTCGCTCCTATATTCATATATATACATTGGATTGATCTTAAATCAATCTCTAGCATACTCAGACATCAAAATATATTATTTATCACCATATAACATATTTATTATTATTTTTCATATAATATTCATATTTATGGGGTTTTACAAGTTAGGACCAAAATCAAAATCCCCTCTCGATTCCTTCGATGAATAAGAGGTCCACTTTCAAATCGAGCGATCAAACTTTCTTATAGTTAGGATTGTCTCAAACTTCTATTCGATCAAAGTTTCCTATAGTTAGGACCAAAACCAAATTTCCCTCTCGATCCCTTCTATGAATGAGAGGTCAACTTTTAAATCGAACGGTCAAACCTTCCTACAGTTTGGACCAAAACCAGAGTTTTATTTCGATAAATGAGAGGTCTCCACCTAGATTGGGTGATTAAACCTTCAGACAGTTAGGGTCATCTCAAAACTCCCCTTTGGTCAAACCTTCCTACAGTTAGGGCCAAAGTTAGAATTTCATCTCGATAAACAAGAAATCCACCTTCAGATTGGGTAATCAAATATTTCGATAGTTAGGGTTATCCGAATCTTTTTAATTCTCGGAGTGGAGATCCTACTCTTAGTTCCACCTTTCAAGATTCTCAGAGTGGAGATGCCACTCTGAGTCTCTTTTGAAGCGGGAAATAGAAAATAAATTTCTTCCTCTCCAACGTAAGGTTCGCCTTTGCCCCAAAGAGAAGACAAAACACAGAGTTTGTCTTTGCCCCAAGAGAAAACATAATCTTTCAACACCAAAATCCATGCTTTTCATACATAGGGGATTTTATCTTGATCCCTAATTAAAGATAAGTCTGCATTTAACACATGCTGCTGAGTAGTATATTTCTGTGAAAATGACGAAGTCTACATATTCAATATTGTAGCATTAAGTCTAAGAGAGTTAATTCTTTTAGCACAACGTTACATGTGGAACGGACTTAGATAATTCACATGCTAGCCCGATTCAAATGGTAGTCGGTAAAGGCATATCAAATCCGTTGATGGCTGAGGGTTTGTCAAAAATCCTATGAATGTTGTTATTATTTGTTCCAAACGGAATAAGAAATCATAATAATAAAAAATGCACTAAATAGAAGACTTTATTTCTATTAATAAAGTTGAATCAAAAGGAGATACAAGAGAATGTATTATCAATCGAGAGGGAGCTTACGACTATAAATTTGTTGTTTTAATCTATAGAGCTTCTCTACATAGGCGTGCTCAAGTTCAATTTGTAAGTTGGCTTTGACGGAGTCCTCAGTGGCAGTCAGGGTCTGCACGTCTTCATCCTCCATCTTTGATAACTTCTCTTGAGAGAGAGCTCTAGTTTCCCAAGCACCTGAGCTCAAGCCCATTCCGTGCCAACCATCTCTAGTTCTAGGATAACCTGAGCATCCTCGGCCGCCTTAAGCTCTTATTTAAGTTGGGCTATCTTTGCACCACCCAACTCAAGAGAGTAGTGCAAATCCCGGTGGATTTCTAGCTTGCTAGAAAAGATTAACTCCATTTGTTTTACACGATTTCATTGTGCTCCATGCTTTCAAACAAGGAACTAATACATGTAAAACAAGGAACCCCCCATATATATACACTATATGTTCTGAGTGATTAGGAGCTAAGTGTTAGTGCCTCATTCTAGCGTTAAATATAAATGTGGCATAAAAACATAATATAATTACTAATGTATAAAAGCATACTTAATATCAACATCTTATCTGCTCAATCAGATGTGAGTAGTCGCGACTGATATCCTTTTTGCACTTTCAATAAACTTCTTCGGCTCCATGCTGATTCCATTGAACTTTCACTAAAGAAATCACTTAGCTTCTAAGCCTTTTGTTTTCTCTAACAGTAATACAAACCGGTATCTCTACGATAATCAAATCATCCTGAATCTCAATACTTGGTGTATCAATCACACTCTGCTGCTCCTCATTGCGCAAGTACCTCTTGAGCATTAAAACATAAAATATATCGTTTATACTCAACCTTAATACTAGAAAATCAAATCTAAATGATGTAAATCCAACATGCTCGAAATTTCTGGATGGATTAACATATCTTGGGGTACGTTTTTCCCGATCTACTAAATCACTGAACGCCCTTTATTAGCGATACTTTTATTCTTATAAAATCTCTAACATGAAACTTTAGAGGTTGTCACCTCTGATCTGTATTACTCTTTTGTCGACTATAAGTGGCAAGAATATGTTCTCAAATCAAAATTACATTCCTCCTTAATGTGCTCTCACAACTTTTGGTCTAAGTAATATCTATTCTCCGGCTCTGCCCACTAATAAGCACTTTACAAGGTCTCTCATACAACACCTCATACGGTGTAATAAAGATTCAATAACTGTTGTTATAAATGAATTCCATCAATGGGGTTATGGTCATCTTGTTTGTCTTGATAATCCATATCGCATGCTTGCAATATATTCTCCAAAAGTGTAAAGTAAACACCAATCCTTGATTTGATACAATCATCTTTGGAACTTCATAAAATCTCATTATTTCCTAAATAATTATCGCTGCATACATTTCCGTTGTATAAGTCATTTTCACGAGTAAAAATTTTGCCGACTATATCAACGGATCAACTATCATTCAAAAAGATCCATTTTCTTCTCTTTGATCTTAGCAATCCTACAATGGAATCTATAGAAACATCTGTCTACTTCCACTCAGGAATATGCAAAGTCTATAGGGTTCCAGCTGGTCTCTGACATACTACCTTCACTTATTGGCAGGTAAAACATTTAGCTACATATTTCAAAATCTCCTTACGCATGCCGCTCCATTAACACATCCTTTCAAGTCTTTATACATTTTTGATGTATCTAAATATTCCGTATACTTGGTACGATATAAAGATATGCTTCATCAAATAAATCCTCCTTAAGTTGTGAATAACCCGGCATCACTACCCGATCTTAATTCGGAAACCCCCGTGGTTTTGATGGTTCATTTTGGTTTAATCTCTATAGAAGTTCCCTTCTTTTGGATTTTTAATCTAACAATTTCCTAACCGGGTACTGATCTTTCTATCACTCCAAAATGATTTCACTGGTAAAGCTCTTATGAAAACACTATTTTTGCTAATCTCCTGTCTAAAGCTAATCTGACTGAGAGTGTAAAGTTCTCAATACAATAAACATTACAAAAATGTAATCTCTCAACGACGCTTCCTTCTTAACGTGTCTGCTACAACACTCGAATAATAAATCATAAACTAGTAATCTTTAATAAACTCAACTCTTTGCTGCTGCCTCTGGTTATACTTCTTTTGGGATAAATGTACTTCCAAAATCTGATAATTCGTATATAGTTTTTTTGTACTCCATACAAATGATGTCTTTACTTCTTCAATGTGAAAACCACAACAGTCAACTTTAAATCATGTGTGAGAAAATTTTTGCTCATGAATCCTCAATTGCCTTAAAATATAAGTCACTACTCCCTGGGTCTGTGTCAAAACACCTCTAGGACCCGATGACTACTCTTTTGTGCAAACAACTTAAAAATCTTATCACTGCTCAGAATAACCAACACTGGTACTGTAATAAATTTAGCCTTCAAACTCTAAATGTTTTCTGACACTCTGTGCTTCGAATAACTGTACACCTTTCTTCATAAGGTGTGTAAGTGACATCAAAATCTTCAAGAAATCTTGAAGTAACTTGTTATAACGGCCAGTCAAAAATTAATAAGTTATGAATCTCTGAAACGATCTACACCTTAGCTGGATTTACTGCGATGCCCTCCTGGCTAATACTATGATACAAAATTCTGATCTTAGGTAACAAAAATTCACACTTGTTGTATGTAACGTATAGCTAGTGCTCCCGTAAAGCCGCAATGTCAACCATAGGTGTTGTTCGTACTCGGCCTCCTATCTCAGATAAATAAGAATATCATCTATGAATACTATCACAAACTGGTCCAAGCATGGACGGAAAACCTGATTCATCAAATTCATGAATATTATGGGTGTAATGGTCAGCCCAAACAACATCATAAGAAACTCAAAAGACTTATATCAAATCAGAAAGGCGGTTTTGGGGATTTCCATCTCCCTAATCCGTAACAGAAATATAATTAGAACGAAGATTAATCTCTGAGAAACTACACTCAACTGTACTCTACCAGTCAAACAAGTCATAAACCCTCTATAGTCGATATCTAGCTAGATCATAAGCTTCCTCATTTCAACCGATGTCATATGATAAGGTGCTCGGGGTATCGGTGCGGTGCCTGACTACAACTCAATGTAAAACTCGACCTCTCTCACTGGAGGTAAACCTGATATGTCCTGCAAGACATTATGATACTCTAAGACCACTCACGTCTCACTCAAATTTTCACCCCGATCCCGTCTCATCACCTCCTCGATGTATGCTAGAAATAACTCTGCATTCTGGTTACCCTATAGGGTTGCTACAAACCATACAAATCTATCGAATACTTACAAAATAACTGTCTTCACCTACAGTCGATACTAATGTGGTAGGAAAATAATCAATCCATACCGAAACATCACATCAAGCTTGGGTATGTATACAAAACGAATTAACCAACTTTAAACATGGACTCGTCTAAACTGATAATGCATCTCCTACAAATACTCTCTAAGAGGGATGTCTCTCCCAAAGGAAAGAAGACTGAAAATGATTGTCTAGAGAATGTGTAACTAACCGAAGGCTATCCATGATAGCATATTGTGAAGTTCCTAAAAGATACGAATTTGGAAGGAGTTCATCGAGAACATACCTTCCACTACGATTCTGCTCTTAGATGACATCATATATCTCAAAAACTTGGTTATTCGTTATGTTATGCTGCACTGTAGGCTCTATAGCATGTGAATCTCTTTGATTCAGAGGTAGCTTCTGATTTGCATGCATCTGATCCTTAATTCTTGAAGCTGATAGAGGTGGTTCGATCCTCTATTGTTGGCCATGCTTGTGATTCTACGGCTGCTGATTCTGGTCTCTATCCTACCGACCTCCTACTGGTGCTTTATGACAATCACTCGCTCTATGTCCAATCTTGTGGCATTTATAACATGCACCCTGCATTTTGTGTTGTTCTCGCGCTCTCTGTGCCTTTTTTGAGTTCTGACTCTTACTTTGCTGGCCTCTCATTGATTCACCACGATACTCTGCGGCTCTATGACCAAATTTATTACAGTTATAACAAAATCCTAAAAATCTGCGCTACTTTGGAGTTGTTTGATTCGGTCGTCCCCTCGGACTAGTATTATTCTATTGCTTCTGATTGTCTAGCAGAGGCCCTGCTGGTCTTGGAAATGTTCTCTTCTTCTTGCCCTTGTCTCTGGTATATCCTGTCTTAGAGCTCTCTTCTTTTCTTATAACTTTAATGGTAGTTGGGGTTGGCTCAACTTCTGATGACACCTTTATAATAAACTCAGCTGGTGCAACTGGTGAAGGAACTTCAAATGATGGTGCTACTGGCGAGGTTGTCCAAATGCTCTTCTAGGGCTGCTATTCTAGGTGTTAATGACGCTAGGATGTCGATCAAATATTATGGAGCCTGTTGTGGCTCAAGGTCTGAATTAGCTTGCTCTGCTCGTCCTGACATCTACAGTTTTCAAAATAGAATTATAAGACACAGTAAATGGGATTTTAGATATAAAAATAAAATGTATACCAATAGGAAAATAGTATTACTTATCACTCACAGCATGCTTTATACTTCAAGAAAATAGTTCATAATAAAAAAAAATTGTTAATTTTTGCATATATATATATATATATATAATACATCCTCACACATATTAGGAATTCCTAACGGACTTTATACATGATTCCTAGGAAACTAAATCCTAGCTCCACAATATGACACAGGCATGACCCTAAAGATACTAGAACTAGAGCTCTGATACCAAATGTGATGCACAAGGGTTCACACAAGGCTGCAGTCTAAGGTGAAACCTATATTGTCAAACCTGACAAGCACCAACATCATGCTATGATATGTTTCACCATTACAATCACTATCTCTCTAGTAGAATCAACAAATAGGTGAAGGTATACAACATGCAAATAATGAAAATAGTGTAAGAACAGAATATACACAGAAGAAGTATGAGAATGAACAACAAATAAGCCTAACTAAAATATAATTAGAATATCTCTGAACTATAATAAATGTACAATGTCTTAAAATAAAGAGTTAAAGAAATCTCACTAAGGCACACTACCTCTACAAAATAAAAATACAACCTCTAGAGTCTGAAGATAAACAACTACTGTGGAGCTCTGTAAATAACTACTAATAAAATAAATAAGACAGAAGCTAAGATACGACACCATCAACCTGCGACACTCCGTATGCTTGACTCGTCACCTGAAAAGCGGGGAAACAACGAGCGTCAAGCGCTAGCGCGATCATCTCTATCGCCCCCAAGGGGAAGGGGTAGTAGTATATAAAAAATACTGGTTAGTACAAATAAATATAAAGTCATCAATATTGTGCTAAACAAAAATTAGTATTTAGAAATTCATAACAAGAGAATGGGTACGTCGAGCGAAATAATCTAAACAAGGAAACCCTCATGTATATACCTCATACCCCAAATTATGAATTGCAAAATATCAATCTTAACTAAGAATAAAAATGCAAGTGAAACTAGTACTAGAAATCCACAACTCGAGACTGGTACGTCGAGCGAAATAATCCAAATAAGGAAACACTTATGTATATACCATATATCTCAAGCTATGAAATACTAACTACTAACTTCAAACCTATATATGAACAATCATCACAAACAGAAATATTATAGCTTTTACCCTCAATCATAATGAAACCATTTTTCATAATCCCAGACAACCCTCAGGTAGCTGGCACAATCACAAGGAAATATTATTCAGCTCAAACATTACAAAATACCATGTCAAGTATGTCATATATCCAATGTGTAGCCTACTCATGTGTAAACTACATAGAATCATACTACAACTATATATATGTATGCCTCTCTTTTTGCAATAGAGATACTCTTGTAAGGTTCTTACTCAATCGCTCAGCGATAATCGGTTTTATCTCCCTATCCCAGCTACATGAAATAATGATGATCTAGTAAGGTTCGCACAATAACGTGTGGGTTCAACTTCCTTACTCAATTGTTCTACGGCAACAAGTTTTATCTCCCTATTTTGGATATACTTCCAGATGATCATACAACAGTGAATAGGCGCATCAGCCCAACCCGAAAAAATACACCGATCACCTTCGAGTATTTGGTACAATCAAGGTCTCATTATGGGAAAAACAACCAAATACTTCTAGTGTGGTACAACCGAGGTCTCATTACGGGATAAACAACCGCACTGAGCATCCATAACTGATGAGGAATGTTTTATCCTATGTTAATTTACTTTCATCAACTCAATGTGTGTCAAGTATCTCGATACTACATGTCAATTATAATGACCATAAATTTTTGATACTAGTTAAAATAATCTTTCTGATATTTTAAAATATTAAATTATTATTTTCAAAAGAGTATTTATATTTTCTCGATTTTTTAGAATTTTCTACGATTTAAAAATCTGATTTTATATTTATTTAATGATTTTGATAATTATAAATTAAATTATTGTGGTGAAAACTTTTAAATTAATATTGGTTATTTAATTATTATTATTGTTATTATTATTATAATTAATATTGATTTCCCCTAATTATTTTTAATTAATTTCGTAATTATTTCCCTAAACCCTAATCCTATTTATATATATTCATTCTCTCTCTCTCTCTCTCTCTCTCTCTCTCTCTCTCTCCTCTCGATTTCATCTCAAAACCCTGCTGGCACTCTCTTTCTAACTCTCTCCCAGCATTATTTCTCTCCCTTGTCGCCTCCCATCACCGTCGAACCTGGTACGATTTAAATCTCGTCCGCACTATTCCGCAGGCTTCTTCTCTCTCTCTCTCTTCTGCTCTCTCTCTCTCTCTGCTCGTCTGCTCTCTTCTCGGCTCTCTTTCATACCCTTACCGCCTCCTCTACTTAATGCGCCGTCTGTCACCCCATAATCCAACAAACCTGACCACAGACATTCCTTCTCTACCCTAAGCCTCCCCTCCTACTTTCTCCACCAAAGCAGTAAACCCCCTGTACCTCAGCCCCGCCACCCAGCATCCGAGCCTCTCTCACTCCACCTCCCTTGCTTCCGACACGCCCGAACCAAAGCTGCGTGCCCAACTCGAACCCCGCCTCCACCTGCCGTCCTGTGCCCCAGCTCCATACCTTCATGCCATCACTTCAACTCCATCTTCCGAAGCCCACGCCCAGATCCACACCAGGCCCGTTCCGTCCTATCTTACACCTTCGCCTCCGCCCATAGCCATAACCTACTCTTAAACCTGCTACAAGTAAATATATAATCCGCTCATTGCACTCCTTGCGAAGCGCATTAGCCCGAGCTCTGCCCAACCCGAGACCCGCCCGGACCACCTCCAACACCATCTGCCCGACACCACAGCTCTCCTCTCTCCCATACTATCTGACCAACCCTCTCCCCCCATAATTCTCCTCCAGATCCGCTTGCCCTGATGTCAAATCACCCATCCTCCTCTGCTCGTCACTGCCCTGCAGGAGCCTGCCGTCATCCCCGAGTCCACCTCTTAGCCGCCTTTCCCCTCAATCCAGCCACTCGTCTTACAGCCTTGCCCATTACCTAATGCCCTTCTGTACCACTGTTACGCTCGCCGTCGCTTGACCCGCGGACTCGCACGTCAACTTTGATATGTTCAACAGAAACCCGATGTAATATCCCGATTCTTGATTATTTATTCATTATAATTCTTGTATTTGTCATAAATTAAGTATGTGCAAAATTCTATTTTTTATTTGTCATTTACTAGAATTTTAGATTACGATGTAATTATCTACGTAGGTTTGTTTGATGAATAATATTAAATAAATTATAATAATTTGCTAAGTAGTATTTTTTATAATAATTATAATAAAATAAAAGAATTTATTTTAACCAAAGAATCATTTTGCAGAATTTATAATAAATTTAAAAATTTTATAATAAATTTAAAGAATTTATTTAGGATAATTATAATATTTTAAATGAATTTATTTTGAGAAAAAGAATCATTTTAGAATAATAAATATTTTAAAAGAATTTATTTGAAAAGAAAATTATTTTTTGAATGAATTTAACGAGGAATAAATAATTTATCTTGAAAAAGGAATTATTTTAGATTAATTATATATATTCTAAAAGAATTTATTTTTAGAAAAGGGATTATTTTAGATTAATTATAATGAGAAATGATTTAAAATAAATTATATTAGAAAAAGATTATTTTCTAAATTATATAGATGGTGTTTATGATTTATAATTCTTAGATTTAATTATGTGATATGTCATGACATCGTTGTACATGATCGGTTGTTTTTTTATTATTTCCTTATTTTATTTGAGAGCCATTAGTAGTTCATAACTTAATGGCTTTGCCCATCATGAATAAGACTTAGTGACATGTGTGTGTGCGTTGACTAAATTTAGGAGGTGGACCAGAGATCTAGTATAAGCTATGTTTGTTGACTTAGAAAACAAGAAGAGTTGGGATGGAGAAGTCTTGGCTCATGTGATCAAATGTAGTTGTTAATATATCTTTCAGGCTTGCACCAGCGAATTCGTGTAGTTACTGGGGTTAGTTTGTTAGGCAAAAGTGAATTAGTGTAGTCACTTTAGTCAGTAAATTTATGTAGTCACCCGAGTTTTGCTTGAGTTCGGATCAGGCCGAAATCGGATTGTGTGTAGTCCTCTGATCGATTCGTGTAGCGGTATTGGATGCATGTAGAGGATTTGTGAGGAGTCATTTATCCGAGAATATGAACGTTAACTCTATGTGAGATATGGACCAGTAATCTGTTATAGGATGGTTAGTTACATGACCTCGTTACTTAGATGATTATGGACTCTTGTGAGATGTGGAATTAATATTTAATTATCTATAATACGAGATATGTGGTATATACATGTGGGTTTCCTTGTTTGGATTATTTCGCTCGACGTACTACGTCTCGTGTTGTAGATTTTTAAGTAAAATTTTCATCTAGTGGTATGACCTTGCTATTTGGATGATTATGGATTCTTATGAGATGTGGACCAATGATCTATTATAGGATGGCTAGCTGCATGACCTCATTACCCGGTTGATTTTTGGATTCTTCTGATTATTATATTCTAGTGGTGCATTGTATTTAAATTATTAGAATATTCAATACCACGCTTCTATTATTATTACTATTCTTGCATTGATCGTTCGACTGTTTCTATTCTCCCTTGTGAGATCTTGCCGTGTGCCATGCACGCTGACATACTCCTATTCTCTCGGGTTGTACATCAAATTTAGAGGATGAACAGGTCCTGCTTGGAGACACACCAGAGTCAGAATAGTTTCTGCAGGAGTACTTTGTAGACTGAGTAGAAGAA